AAACTTTGTTCTCTAATGTACAACACAAATATAACTGACTAATAACTTAAATCTAAATTGTCAATTAATATTAAAGTCATGCTTTAAATTTATATGATGAAGGCAGGTGATAAGAAGCCATTCTGGCCAAAGAAAATTGTTAATGTACATATTACTTTTAAATTACTTTACATATAAATTATATAGTTAACTTACTTTAAACAAGTTTTAAAATGTAATAAAGTATCCTAACACCCAACCTCATCAACTAAAAAAACAACAAAATAAAAGCTAGCTTGTTTATAAATTTATCAAAGAAAACTTTTCAATACTTTTGTTACTAGAACCCACTCTTTAATCATGTATACTATTGGGAAAATTAACAATCCTCACCGAGAATAACACTTAAAAACAAGGCTGCATCAAACTTTTACAGTTAACAGTTTTATATTTTAGACAGTAAAAGCAACCTTATTAATCTTCAACTCAAAACTTGCATATACACATATATATACATACATACATAAACATGATGTTCAAACAATAATTCAACTTTTATAATGGTTTATAACTTTAACCAAAATATCTATACATTTAGAATCTAGAACATTTGACACTGTTTTCACCACAGCTAATCATAGATGATGGTTACAGAATATAGTGTTATCAATGTTCTTCGGCATACCATTTTCCTCTCAATTTCATAAACATTTCAATATATGGCTTTAGAAATATTTACAAGAATAATCTCCTGTATTAAACCATTATACTTCATCTGTACTTTCAAACAAAATGTATTATATTTTTACCACATTTTTAAACAACCCAATTAACAGGTAGCAAAAATTAAAAAAATAATAATAACAACATATTTAAGCCTACACCTGCACATTAATTCAGTGTCAAATTCTTTAAATTTACTCGTAACTTACAATATGACAGTTTATTTATACTTTTACAAAGTTTTTCTTTAATGTTATTAGAACAACTGGACGTTTAACCCCCACCCCAAAAAAGTTTAAAACTAATTATATGCTGCTTTTTGTCCTAATGAACACTTTGGATATAACTGACAATACTTGCTGGACTAAATAAAAACTATAACTTCAACTGAACTTTGAAAACCTTGCCTTATTTTTTTAATTCAGTTATAAAATTCAGTAATTAATAATAATTAGGATTATTTTTATTTTATTAGTTAACATAATGTGACCTGTGCTATCTTGGACATACTATGCTTAAACTATTTTGTAAAACCTAAAAATCAGTCATTCCTACTCTAAACTATAGACGTTATTCAGCCTGGTAAGATATAACTTTACAGCTAATAGAAAACTATTGTTTTCCAGCTGTGTCCATTTAACTTAAAACAGTAACACTGACGTTACTAAGGTTAAACGAGAAAATCAAAATTTTTTTTTACTTTTCAATTTCATTATTTCAGTATCGATATCGTATTGCCCATATATATATGTCTTTGAATTAATTTACTGAATGACGCGCTCTTTTGAACTTAAACATACCAACAGAATGAAATTAATAATTAAACTGAAAGAGTCAAGAGCTATTAAACTAACTAGGTTACAGTATTCTCTTTCTCACACGTCAATATTTATCTGCGTGCTGATAAAACTAACAGGCAACACATGGTCATGGCTAAGTAACACTCAGTCACGGCACTCAGGCGTTAACTGGTAAATGTTCGTGGCCAGCTATCGACCACACGAACGTATACGTCGTATAGACACCCAAATACAAAATTAAGGAAAACTTACGCCATTTTTGATAGCTTTAGAGGTAGATATCCGTCTATGGAATGATTTTGAGGGTTCCCCATCGCCTTCACTCTCTGAGGAATCTTCAGACGGGACATCAGACCCACACTTTTCAGACACACTTCCTACTGGACCTACCCCTGTCGCCATTTTCCCTCGACTACATAAATATAACTCACCAGATGGCAGCAAGTACTGTTGTCGTCTGCTGTAATGCACATAATACTTCAATTTTTTTCATCAAGAATTTAGCAGTTAACTAATTTTAAAAAGCATCAAAATAAATCTTGTATAATCAAGAAACATCTAAAATCATCATATAGTACAATCGCAATACATTTATCAAGAATAATTAAAATGAAAATTAAGTGGTGTTTTACTTAGAGGCACTTGTATGAACATATGCTCATTTATATAAATATAATGGTACTGTCTGTTGTCTGTTGATGTCCATGTAACTACTTCGTAGGGTGTGGATGGACCTTCACCAAACTTGGTATGGAGGTTCATTTGCTCCATGGGAAGATACATGCAAATTTTAAGTTTTACATTTTGCGTTTTGCAGTTTCTATAGTTTTTTTTACCACTACCTCACCTCTTGTTCATAGATCTTCACCAAATTTGGTATGAAGGTTAATTGGGTCCATGGGGAGTTACATACAAAGTTTCAGTTTTGCATTTTGCGTCTTGCGGATTTTATGGGCGTTTTTTGCGTTTTCGCGTTTTTTACTACTTCTTCGCCCCATGTTGATGGATTTTTACCAAATTTTGCATGAAGGTATGTTGGGCCTATGCAGAGATACATGCAAATTTGCGGTTTCATATTTTATGTTTTGCATATTTTATGGCCGTTTCTTGTGTTTTTTACAATTACATATAAGGGAAACAATTTTACATGTCCTAATCTAACCTTTCATTAATCATGAATTTACATAACTTCCGTCCAGGGGACGGGTAATCCAGTTACTTATAAATAAATTATAATAGGCCTGTACTGTTGATTATTTGTTAGTTTGTTGTTAAGCATAAAATTGCACAGTGGACTATCTCTCTGTTCCCACCGCAGCAGTTGAACCAAAAATCCTAGCGTTTTAAACCCTCGATCTTACTGCTGAGGAGCCTGGCACGGCCTGGAATTTGAGGGTCACGGTTTCGAATACCACGTCACCGAACATCCCTTTCAGCCGTGGGGGCGTTATAATGTGACGGTCAATCCCATTATTTATTAGTGAAAGAGTAGCACAATAGTTGGCGGTGGATGGTGTTGACTAGCTGTCTTTCCTTTAGTCTATCACTGCTAAATTAGGTAACAAAAAAGCTTATTATTTGTTAATACGGAATATTTTGTTGTCTTTTAATACACATGTATTACTTATGACTTAAGACAATCCAAGTTGCAGTACAATATTCCAAACTTCCAACTAAACAATAAAATAAATAAAACTAATATTTTCAGAAGTATTACAAACAAGAAACTCATTATCGAGTTTCTTTTTTATAACCTTTATAACTTTTGGTCTTATTTCTTAGCACCATAAATTTTCAAAAGTTTTTTTTTCTTTAACCGATAAAATTAAATTATTCTTATCTGCAAGTGTGATTTATTGAGCCCTTTTTGATCTAAAATTGCTACTTGATATCCAACTACGTTTAAGCTAAAATATTTTCATCAAACTTATACAATTTTTTGTTTGTTTGTTTATTATTAATCACAAAATTACAAAATGGGCTATCTGCGCAGTGCTCATCGCAGGTATCAAAACTCAAATTTTGGTGCTATAAGTTATTAGACTTATGGCTTAGCAACTGAATGGTAAGTTTATAAATGATAAGCATCTATACCATATAAGACTACAAAATAACTGGCCTTGTGTTCGCATTCTCGTTAATGCCTAGCATTTTGGGGGAAGTGAAAAAATGCATTCATGCTTGTTAGTTACAAGTGATAAAGATATTCAAAATGTGGAAAACCCTTTTTCTTTTCCTCGGCTCGAATTCGATCACAGGCTACTTCATATATAGCTTTATTTTAACGAAAATAAAATGCTAAATTTTCGGTTAAAATACTATAATATATTTGCTACTCACTCATTTTCTCCGTTGTATTTTGATAATTCTAGATGAGTCGTGAATATAGTTTAAGAAAATATTTTAGAAATAAAAAACTGACTTATAATTATTGCAAATACTGAATCAGGTGTGTGTTTTACCAACTGAACAAACGTGTTAACTCCCTCTCACTTCATAGTATAAGAACTTGTTTAACAATTCAAACTATCACATTCTTTCCCTTTCACAAACAATGCATTATCTCAAGGGCGCCAGCTTTTTTTGTGATCATTTAATTTAAATCTTACTATTTCCTTGACTCAGGTTTGGTCGCGATACCTCTTGCGAGCGTTTTACCAACTGAGCTAAAAGTTTAACTCATTAATACTTGCCAGTGAGGTATTTTTCAACAACTCAAGCTAGCACACAAATACATTTTGTACACTCAAGATTCATACATAACACACAAAATCGAATATCCAAGCTAACATATCCAAGAAAATACAAACTTGTAGCATGTATTGGTTTAGAACGGCTGAATAAATTTTGTTTGAAATTCTTATGGGAAAAACTTTCTAGTCAATAATGTACATTAAAGATAATATAACAAGAAATATGTCAAGCTCCCACTTTGCTACATGAAAATTGCTGTAAGCATTAATCTCACTGTATGTATTGCCTTTGAAATAACCTAAATTGTTTTATGAATTTCCTGCACAGTTTCTAAAGATTTCATTAAGAACTAAGCAGTTCCAAAGGCAATAATTATTAGTTAGTGTTTATTTTATTTTTCTAAACAAACTTCTTAAAGTATATTCACACATCATCTAGACCTATCAAAATACAACGGAGTAGATAGTGAGTAGCAAAAATATTATAGCATTCTAATAGCATATTTCTTTCCTTAAAATTTTCGTAAGCTTAATTAAGGGAAACCTCTACAACTGAACCTACTAAAGCTTACAAAAAAAACGGTACCAAATTCTGTTTCCTATAGTATCGTTGATTAAAGTTTGTAGTTTTCAATGCTTTAATTTCCAATTTAAGAATATGAATAGAGTGTTCTATATTATCTGTATTTTATTAGTCTTATATTGCGCGTTTGAAGAGATTTGTTAGGTAGTAAATCTAGAATAAACGAAAAATAAAAGTAATTTTCGTTTAAGAGAAATAAAATCACACTAGTCACGAACTTTATATTCATTATTTTCCAGTAGCACAGCCACATTAGCTCAGCGTTAAGTCTGACGGCTTATATCGTTAAGATTCGAGTTTCGATACACATGAGGAAACAGCACGTCCTCCGGTGAGACAGCGGTAAGTTTCCGGACTTACAACGCTAAAATCCAAGGTTCGACTCACCGCGATGGACACAGCAGATAGCCAAATGTGGCTTTGCTCTAAAACAAACATTAAATACAGGTCACAGCACAGTTAGTCCATTGTGCAGCTTTGTACTTAGCAACAAACAAACCAGTAGCACAGAACAGAATCTCACTTTCTTTCATAATCATTTTCAACAAATTTGGATAGTTTATTTCACTGACATCACAAAACCTATACAGTTAATAATTTTCTCATATTCACGATGAAGCAGCTTCGAATTCCTTATTTGGCCATCAACACAAAATAATACAGAAAATATCTACAGTTTAGATTTTCCTTAGATCACATTCAAATTTAGTTGGATAATCGATGTTGCCATAACTCAAACTACGCAATCAAGATTCCTAAAATTAATATTTCTCTAACACTGTCATTCACCAAATTCAATTCTGGATCTCTTTCTATTTGCCAGTACCTCGGGGTATAAGATGTTCTCTGTATTTAATCTTTCTCATATTCAATTTTAATTTTGCTACTTCATAAGTGTTAGATAGCAGCTCATAAATGTAGAGAAAAGTATTTTATTATGTTTGTAGATACTATTATATTATGATTGGTGTCTTAACCTTTTCTGCATTATTAGTATAGATAGTTCGTTATTGAGAATTATGCATCAAAATCTTATTGTATGGAATATATAAAAATTCACAGGATTTTATCAATGTACTTTTTGGTGGTTACGTAGTTCTCTGTACACGTATACTACATATTGTACTGTTACGACAGCGGAAGTCACGTGACTCTGGGAGCATGCGCGCTGGAGTTTCTCAAATGATCATGAATTTGCCCGGCAGCTCGAGTGTGATCTAGTTGCCCCCTTTTTTAGTATATAAGCCTGGCCAAGAAAGCCAGCTGGAGAGAGATAATTGAGTCAAGTCGTTAAGTTTAAAGTGGCGATGAGAAACATACTGATTGTGAAATTATTGTGTGCTAAAGGTTTGTATCGAGGAAGTATAACCTGGGTTAATCAAGAAAGGACTTGTATCGCTGAAGTTTCTCGGAAAGAATTTCTACAGGAAATTAACAAACAAGCAGATACGTAACAGTACAATATAATACGGTTTGTCCGCATAGATGTGCGAAATTTTCTATATCCTTAAAAAATATGCGTGAAACAATTTCTTTGGTTCAGCCCTTTGTGAAATATTTAATGTCGTTACATGTAGATATCTATATTAAGCCTCTCCGTAACTTAGAATATAAGTAATCTTTATTTATTATTGTTTTTCAAAATTCCGATACAGGCATCAATACTTAGTGACAGATTCCAGACAAACAGTGTTTACCTGTTTACCCACGATTAACTGCACTAATTTTGATCTTAGAGCTTCTTTCCCGGTGTTTTTTAGGCATGAACTCAGAAATAGTATTAACCTGATGACTGGATAAGACGTTGAAGCAGTCTTAGCAGTTTGTCTGACCTGCTGGTCATGTGCGTAGAGATAGCGAAGTTTGAAATTCGAGTTTCCTTTTTTGTTAATAAGGCTTGTCTAATGACGTGAATGACATGACAGCTAGTTCTTTCTGTATTTTGTTTCATGATTGACCTCTGCAGATCTCTTTTCTTAGAATACTCCAGCATCTATTAGAAATAACAAAGACAATTATAATTCTTCTTAATGAATTTTGAAAGTGAAGATAATTCTCGTTAGTCTGTTTTTGTTTTTATATAACGTCCTTCTTCACAATATTCACTTGCCATAGATTTGTAAAT